AATCAGTACATTTCTTACCCATGTATTTTCAGTACATTAATTTATATATCATTTTTAGTAATGTTGAGAAAAAGTTGTTTTCAGTACTGAAAATTTCAGTCATTTTTCAGTACTGTAAATTTCAGTCATTTTTCAGTACTGAATATTTCAGTCATTTTTCAGTACTGTAAATTTCAGTCATATTTCAGTACTGAATACTTCAGTCATTTTTCAGTACTGTAAATTTCAGTCATTTTTCAGTACTGTAAATTTCAGTCATTTTTCAGTACTGAATATTTCAGTCATTTTTCAGTGCTGCATTTTCCCGTAATTTTTTCAGAACTGCAAAAGTCAGTCATTTTCAAGAACTGATACTGAGTTTCAGTACTTTAATATAGTTAATAAGATATAAATCGAAAGCATAAGGATGATTATGCAAATATGTTCATTGTGAGAGTTTGTCAGAAAAGAAGACATTGCTATCTATGACATCAAAACGGTAGATCAATAAAAGGTAACACAATCTTTTTTAGACTTGAAACTATTTTATTTGTATAATTACTTACGTTAAGTGATAATGGACAACTTGCTTTTCATTTAGAAACTATATACAAAGAAACATAAACTAAAAATGATTAAAGACATCATAGTGATCGCTAAATGATAGCAATCATAAAGTACGATAAAGCAAAGACCATAGAAGAGGGGCGAAATTAAGATACCAGAGAGACAATCAAAAGTATTCAGGTAAAACTCTATTTTGATTCGACATACTTGTCACCAGGAACATATATATTGACATATACTGTTCCCAGTTGTCACCAACTGGGACTATTATACTATTAGTATAATAGTCCCAGACACCAAGTAGATCTAAAAATAAACTGAGAACGCCTTAGCTAAAAAAGAAAAAGACAGACAAATTGGAATTTTTAATCCGAAAGTATACATGCTTCCTTTATTTTTGTGACATTTCGACATGTTGTCATTAAAAGAAGTTTCGTTGATGTGATTGTTATCAGTTACACAATACAAACCCCTCATCACTCTGTATGTCAAGATTTAGAATCCTGTAATTCAGTGTTTGTGTTATTGTATAAATATCATATTTTGTTTTTGTTTATACGTACATCAGGCCGTTAGTTTTTCTCGTTTAAATTGTTTTACATTTGTTATTGCGCGGCCTTAAAAGCTATCTATGCAGTATGGGTTTGCACATCGAAAAGTCTATACAGTCACTTTTGATTATTATCTTCTACGTCTTTTGGTCTCCAAGTGTTGTCTCATTGGCAATCATACCGCATCTTCTTATTTTTACATTAGTACAAATTCCGTGTTATGATGTCACAGAGTTGATCAGAATCGATAACATACATGATGGAACATTTGTAAATGATTTGAACAGCCTTACCGGTAATAAATAATAAAATTTCGAGGTATATTTTTGCCATGGTTGCTGTTTTAGCCCTGCATGTCAAGCGGTTTCAGAGAATATTTTCTGAAAGTTAATTGTCTATCAGGTTTTCTGTAGGTTTCAACTTAATTCTCATCTAAATTATTTACAACAGAAAGAACAGATATTTTAGCGTGCATAGATCTGAATTCTTACAGGTTTACATGCTGGAATTCTTTCTTTAACTGACCAAACCTTTCTCTGGTATTACATGGCCTTGATAATATTTCATAGTTTTTTGTGGCTTAAGACACAAATTTGTGTCTAATGTATAAATTATGAAAGTTAGTTAAATAGAAAAAAGTTTCAGAGTCGATGGACCATAACTGATGGGGCCGGCCAAATTATCTCCATGGAAGTACATGAGATGGGAGCTGCATACCACATATCATGGACATACCATTAGTGGTTCCACTTCAACTGACATTTCCTGTTTATAGCATACCTAAGTCTCAAATTTAATCTCTTGTCGAGGAGAGATAAAAACTTGTTTTTTTCTGTAATGATGTGCAATAGAGTTATAATGAATAAACATAAATTAAACAAACAGACACAGTTTTTTGGTAGTTTATATGCATGTGTATATACAATATCTTTCTACATATAAATTACGAATTATCAAAATCACCTTTGAGCATTACTCAAATCAGGTTAGGGCTATTACAGAAAAAAAATATGGGTGTTAGAATGCTTTAAATTATTTTTGTATGGGTTACAAAGTTCAAATTGTTTGCAAAGTTAAATGCAGTTGTGTTGGTGATGGCCATAGAAAAAAATAGGGAATGTGTTCATTGGACACAGATGATACCACTGCTTGCATATTATATAAAGGGACATAAGTATTGTGTATAAGTTTCATAAAATTTGGTTGAGATGACTTAAGTTGGAGAACAGAAACAAAAACATTTGTATAGAGGCATAACTCTACAAAAAAAATTGGTACACTCCCAAAATTCAAACTTGATCAGTACTTTGTTGAATAAGCATTGTCTATAAGTTTTATAACATTTGGTTGTAGTAAACTTATGTTGGATTACAGAAACGAAAACAAAATCAGCATTTTTTCCAGTTGTAAAGGGACATAACTCTAGAACGATTAAAGTGACACCACCAAAATTCAAACTTGATCTGTGTGTTGTGTTAACTAGCATTGTGTATAAGTTTCATAACATTTGGTTGAGGCAAACTAAAGTAAGATAACGGACAGTTTTGAACCAACTTTGGGACGTACAGACTTATATACAGACATACTGTCGTACAGACAGACAAAGGTAAAATGTAATGCCCCCTCTGCTACAGCAGGGGCATATCGATGCCTTCTGACATCACCACTCTTCTCAACATCATAGAGTTAATATCTATAATTTCTCAATAAATCAAACAACTTTTTTTATCCTACATATGTAATTTTACATGATTTAGCAATATGATTGGATGTACTTCAATTGCCTGTAAAATGATAAGATAAAGAGATAAAGCTTGTATCAGCAACATTATCATATCTTTTAAAAGTGCAGGATTAATCAGTCATGTCACAATGAGAGAGAACTTATCAAGTATATCTCTGGTAAGGCAATAAAGATTAGATACATGTAAAGGGCTGTGATTAATGCATCATAATTCATGCTTAACATATCACCAAGGAAAATTTAAATACTTAAATCATTTATGAATAAGCACTGGCTATTTAGGGAAAAAAATTCATAGGAATAAAGTGGAAATTTTGGCCTTTTGAATGGAGATACCCAATAAAGTCTAGCACAAATATAAATGGCCAGAATTTTCACATGGTATACAAAGAAAAAATTCCAACTTCAAATACTTAGGGTTGACCCCTGTATAGACAACTTTTGACTCATAAACCATAAATGTTATATTAAAACTGTCATATATATCACAATGGAAATTATACAAAGAATACAAAGAAAAAAGGCTTTCCATCATACTTTTTAATAAAATGTTGTATTGCAATAAAGTGATTAACCTGTTTTGAGCCCCTTTTTTGAGGGTCTAGAACAGGCTTTTTTTTATGGTCTTAAACATTGTTATAGTAAAAAAATTCTCATGTTTTGGTTCATAATAACTGAATAATATCACAGTGTCTACAGATATCCAACAACACCATCACACCATTATACCATTATACAAATCAATACAAAATAAGTTTTTGTTTTGCCTTTCAGATCATTGACTGCACTCACTGCTGATATTTTACAATATGGTTGTGTTCAAAACCAGATATCTTTACATATATTGATTTATTGTACATTAAAATTTTCACGAAATTTCTTATGCAAATCTTGTAAAATGCCAAAATGCAAAAGGTTTGATATTGTTATTTTTAGTTTTAGAAATTAAATTTACCAGATACTCATGTACACTGATAAATAAACTTTACTAAGAAATATACTAAACAAGGAAGCAAATGACTCAATCTATGAGATAGCAATGCTCAGTTAGTGGTACACTTTGGTATTTTTACCAAATTCTAATACAGTTATAGCTTTCATTTAGATTGTAATCAGTATAAATACAGATTTAAAAAAAATCTCTGTATGCTTCTTAATTACATTTAAGACCTTGGATCCTTTAGCTTAATTCAAAATTTGAAAATTCTGACTAAAATAATTTTTAAATTCAGGTGAGATAAGAGATCCAAAAATTGTCCTTTTCAGAAATTTTGAAATTGCCCTTCAAAAATGACCATATTTTTTCCATTAAATTTATTCAAATTGTAAATGTATTCATTTTCAGATTATCTTAATGCCCATAAAAAATTGAAATAAAACTTAATTTTCTTATCTATACATTTTTAAATCTATTAAGTGTTGATCATTTATAGCCTTGAAAATATTTTCAGTCCACTACAACAATAAATATTTTTTGTTTAACTACTATGGCTGAATGTATAGATTCTTTGAAGTCTGCCTTAATGTAGCATCATTTATTGCTTGATACAAAATTTAAAAAAAATAGAATAAGAGTGTGTCTTAGAATATGAAGGTATCCACCCAAACTTTCCAATTTTCAAAAGTTAAAAAGGGGCATAACTCAAGAATGGTAAATGACTCACAACCTATATTTGAATTTTGTCTACCTGTCGTGGTTCTTAGCATTTTGTTTGAGTTTCATAAAACTTGGATCAGGAAAACTTTAGATTGCAAGAAAAAAAATATTGCAATTTTCCATGTTATAAAGGGGCATAATTCTAGAAAGGTTATTGACATACTGCTCAATTTGATCTTGTCTGCAAGTGAGTTTTTATTTAGAGTTGTGTAGGAGTTTAATTAAATTTCTATAAGTCATACTTAATTTAAAGTGCAGAGACGAAAATGGGATGGTCAGACAGTAAAGGGTAACTCTTAATGCCCCTATTGCCTATGTCTACAGGAAAAGGGGGGAAGGGCATAAAAATGATGAAAACAATAATTTGCTTAAAATTCTTGATGTACTAATTTAAAACCAGAAAATATTATTAAAAAAACAATTTTGTATCAGTTGGTTATAAACTGAAAAGATGAGTTTTTTTGGTATTATTTCAAATTCATATTATGAATATATATCTGTATTTGACATTAGAGTTTTTTGTTTGTTTGAAGAATGCATTTAAAAGTTATTTTGATGACCCCAAGTATATTCTATGGTAAATTTTCCTTTATTTTTGACTTATTTACAATTCCAGTAGTATGACTGACGGAAAAATATATTTGACTAAATTTTATTCACCTAAAGTATTGATGTTTTCAGAAAATTTATGGAAAAAGGTAGCCAATAATCCGGTTTTTCATTTATTAAGAATGGTGGTATTATTTTTTTCTAAATATAAAAGATATAACATTTTTCCTGTGATTTCTTTGTTTGGTATAATAATTAGTTGATTTTGGAATTATAATAGTGCTTTAAAGACTTGTTATATTTTATTAAAGACATACATTTCCAGAGGTGACTATTACCAGTAGTGTCTGTGACCTGAGCACTTGCCTAACCAAATACAAATTAGAATGTAAAATTAAAATGTAAAACATTTCCAGTAGTTTTTTCACTTACCAAATAAGTTTTGTAAAAATCGAATATTATTAATTGAGGATAACAATTCTTTTTCAATTGTGCTGATCTCTATTTCTTACCCCAGGTGCAAACTTGGACTGTTCCCTTTATTGTGTTTAACCTGAACATATAGCTTAACTATATAGTATGCCCTTAAATCAGGAATTAAATTGTTTATAATTAAAATGAATTTTAAATCTGTTAATAAGATAGACACCATGTTTATAATTATGACGAAATTGTCTAATAGATTGGTTTGTAACCATGGAACAGCATCCACCATTTCTACAATCATGAGATACAAACAAAGAGCCCTCAATGATATTGTAAGGCAAGCTTTTTCTTCTTGTGGTGAGTGTAAGGCTCTTGCAATGGAATAAGGGATCTTCCTGGTGAGGTATCATCAACAAAACAGTAACATCTGAACTGGTTTTGCAGTCAATTTTACCATAATTAATCTGAAAAAGAACATTTTAAAGATACTTTATCTTTCAAAAAAATAACAACTTTAAATTTGAATTGTTTGCATAATTTATGATATTTTGCATCTTTTACAACAATTGATTAAGGTAGGTGTAAAAACTTTAAATTTGGATCTTAAAATTTAAAACTTTTAGATTCCAACCAATAAAAATCCATAAAAAAAAATCATTTATAAGCATTTATTAATGTATCTCTACCCCTTGGTATCAGTTTATTGTTTTAATTCTAAAAATGAACAATGAACTTATCAAAAGGAAAAATTTTCATTATTGAGTGATTTATCTGGGGAAATACATAATAGGTGTGTAACATCTGATTTTTGTTTTTGTTTTAAATCACCCGGAGATGCACAGATTAGTTTTTAAACAGACATGTTTATGTAATAATTTTTGATATTAACTTAGTGTTTTCATCTTAAATTGAACATGTTCATATCTCTAATATGGCAATCATTAGCTTGGAACTATTGGACAATGAACAAGCTCCGGGGTTTAATGGTATTCATCCTCATATTGTATTATTTCATACTGCACTCATTCTATTTGAGCAGTCAAAATGCGTTGACTGTATATTTCTTTGTCACATACCGTCACTGACCTGATATCACTTTTCCTCATAAATATTTACCTCTTCAACCTGTTCTTGTTTCCAATGTTACAATGATGCGTGGAACGACTCAAACTTAATTATTTCATATTTTGGAAAAACATATTTCATTTGTTAATAATATTTGTTTGAAATCTATAAATGATTTATGTATAGTTGATAATTTAGTCCATACTCAAACAAATTTGTTCACCATCGATTGAGGGTTTCAACAGGTAATGTACAGTTCACTGTGTTGCATATTTCTCCGCCTGATATGAGGCCTTTTAAAGGGCGATTTTTCACAATATTTGAATCAAATAAATAATATTAACACATTAAACAACAATTGAAAATGTTTTTTTCTAGATTGCAGAGCCTCGCATTTCCCTGTTTCTAAGCCTCATCCTTATATCGTTGAAATGTCAAGTCAATGCACTATTATTGTCTATCTATCATGATAAAAGCATGTGAGAAAATCACAGTGAACAAACTTGTCTGGAATAAAAAAAATGGCATACTTACATGGTCATCTAATTTAAAATAAACAATTTCTCCAATGTTTAATTTACTTCCATCCTTCCTTTTCATGTTTCTGATTTCGTCTCCTACATTTCTTTTCACTCCTATAATTTGTTCTAATAAAAATTGTAAAATGTCAATTTATTTAAGAAGACTATAATACATTTAAGTGATATCTGCTAAATTATTTAAGAATTCAGTTTTATTGTATAGAAAATGGTGTTAAGTGTTTCAAGAACAGCTGAACATATATTTCCTTTCATTCTTCCTTTTTAACTTATTTATTGACTCATTAAAATACTATACTTTGACTTCTAATGATTTGACTTTTAATTGTTTAACATTACAGGTGCCATTAGTTAAGGAGAATAGGCTTACAATTCTATAGCATCTGATTTCAACTCCCAGTTTCTTGTGGGAAGTCATAATGCCTAAAACTTTAGCTTTCAGTGTTTTGGTTTATAAATTTATCCTGCAATTAGGTGTCTTATCATACATTAACAGCCCAACAGATATCAACAGGGTGTTCTGTTGTGCAGTTTCAGAGGAGCTGCGATGACAAACTGTTGCAGTAGTATATTGAGGCAAATAAGTTCAAAGGGGCATTACTCCTAGAAAAAAAAATTGAATCAATTTCTTGTCAATATGCACACCTTCAAAGTATGTCTTTATTATCTACCAGTTTCATGAAATTCTGGTGTGTGGTTTAGAGGAGTTGCGATGACAAGAACAGGACTGATAGACTGACATAAGGACAGACAACGGGTCAAAAACATGATACCCTCTGCAACTTCATTCAAAGCTTGTAGCAACTTTAAAAAAAAATTATTGTATCCAAAACTAAAATCCTACCATCTTCTTTCTGTGTCCTATTTCCCATTACAAAAGTTTGAATCCGTGGATGATTTATCTCTTCAATTGTCTGTTGTGCAGGTTGAACTCTGTAAAAAAATATATTACTTTTAGTTCCCCTGTATAAACTCGATCAATTCACTCACAAACAAATAAAAGTCTGAAGTTTGTGAGTGACTTGGTCCAGTTTCTACACCAATAAATTCCTTTAAAAGGTGTTTACTCCTTATTATAAGTTATATGGTTCGCTACTGACCCCTACCGATCCATAGAGGGTTAGTAAAATCCATAGGGGGTGAGGCCGGAGGCCGAATCACCTATGGATTTTATTCACCCTCTATGGTCCGTAGGGGGTCAATAGTTAACCGTATAACGAATTTATCGTTCGCTGGACTTTTTCTGCGGCATTTTACTGAAAAATAAACAATGAAACACAACAACAGTAATAGATGACGTCACCATAAACAGTAGATGTGACGTCATGAACCCCCTATGAAATTTACTAACCCCCTACGGATCCATAGGGGGTCACCACGTGACGGCTTTAAACCAATCAAAACGTGATAATTTACCCGCCGTGCGATAAAATTCTTTAGAATTGGAGATAAGGAATACATTTAACCATACTCATAACCCATATCACACGTAAATTCTATATTTGTGAAATTGAATAAGCCTAGCGCAAGAATATATATGTTGGTTAACTAAAATATATGTACTTCGTGACTTTGCTATCTGATAAAGAATAAACTACAAAAACTCTTATTATCATTCAAAAAAATGTTTTGTGTTTATTTTTTTATTTAACGATTAACGCTAAGTGAAAATAGATTTTGTTAACCTCGGTCCAGATTGTGTTATCATTGCCACCATCTTGTTTACATTGGTTATGAAAAGAAGTTAGGTCAATGTCGTCTATCGAAAAAAAAAAAACAACATTAAGAACAGCTACTCGAAGTTTTCTCGACTAATATCAATGTATTCCCAAATATGCAAATCATATAAGAATTATCACATGATAAATGCTGTCCTATACCTTTTCCCATTTGAAAACCATGTCCCACTGTCAATGATATGGCAAACTTCCTCAACATGAGCTAACTTCAAAGCTGTGTCTTTGTTGGCATTGTGGTGGTTTGTAATGCTCTGAAAATGTTTGACTATACCACACCAGCTTTCCCCTGTCTCTAAAATAAAAAAAATAATTATACAATTGTAGGTAAATTGAAAAATATGTCAAATTAATAAGTTGCATTATATAACATTCAGTTCTTAATTTTTACAATTCTGTGTGGTCTGAGTTGTCTTTTTGTCTCTTCATCTTATACATGTCTTTCAACAATTCCGGATATTTTTTTTTTACTTTTCTCAATTTTGAATTTTTTCAATTTGAAAATCGTTTTAACAATTACTTGACTACATGCTTTTATATGCTGGAATATCAATCCTGTTAAAATTCAACCAAATTGTAGTTTGTTTTAAAAAAAAATCAACTGATAAATTAGTACTAAAAAATCCAAACATCTTGAATAGCAAATTAACAAATAATCAACAGCTAGGTGTATAAAAATAACATTTATTAACTTTTACCAGTAGTATAACCTATAGGGACCCCATGAAGTCTGATTTGTTGCTCAGTATGGAGATTATGGTGTATTTTCTGTTTTTTCAATGTTTCTGGAAACTGCTTGTAAATGTTTTCATTAAATTGGTACTGCAGATCACCCAGCCTAGTGAGTTCCGATTCCAGCAATTTCATTTTGTTACTCAACTGAACAATCTGAAAATATAAATATAATAATAATTACTAATGAACCACAAACCCAGTGCTGACATGAATATTAATTATATGGTCATATGTATAAATTAATTGTATGAAAAAGTATGAATTATTTGAAATACGAAGTATTTTCTTATCCCAGGCATAGATTACCTTAGCCGTATTTGCCACAACTTTTAAGAATTTTGGGTCCTCAATGCTCTTCAGCTTTGTACTTGTTTGGCTTTTTACTTATTTTGGTCTGAGCATTACTGATGAGTCTAATTTGCTCTAAATGCTTTGGTTTCAGAGATATAAGCCAAAATCTATATTTTACCCCTATGTTCTATTTTTAGCCATGGCGACCATCTCGGTTGGTTGGCCGGGTCATCGGACACATTTTTTTAAATTAGATACCCCAAGGATGATTGTGGACAAGTTTGGTTCAATTTGGCCCAATAGTTTCCGAGGAAAAGACTTTTGTAAAAGTTAAGACAACGGACGACAGATGCCAAGTGATGAGAAGAAAGGTCACTTGGCCCATTGGGCCAGGTGAGATTAAAACACATTACTATAACACCAGAGACCATAAATCTGTAACTTTTAGAACCAGAACTAAATGCAAAACTTTAAATCAAACATAAAATCAGTATCTTTAAGCACGAAAAAAAAATTATGGAAAGCTCATACATAGGTTATTTAAATAATAATTTGTGTCACAGTAAGTACTCATTGAAATAGTAAATTATGTGTTAAGCAAACATCAAACTTTACTGTATACTGCATAACTAAATATACAATATATGTACATTGTCGGAAAATATAAAATTTATTTGTATGAGCTTTAGAAACAGGACGAAAAGCGAGGCTCGCCGAGCTTTTCTCCTGTTTCGCAGCGAGTACAAATAAATTTTATATTTTCCGACAATGCACATATATTGTTTTTATCCTGAAATTTACACCCAACACTTGAAACTTTAGTTGTTAAAATCTAAATCATTGTCTCTAATTTTTCAAAGAAATCGACATAGTTTAAACGCGGACCGCGAAGAGGACCCCAAAATGAACTGGTACGCAAAAAGAAATATCCACATTACCGCTTGCTCAACATGGACGAGGGGTAACAGGAGACTTTATTTGTACAAGTACAAATAAAGCAAAAATTTATTTGTGTACCTGTTATTTGTACAATAGCTGGCTGATTGCAGGATAAACTATTGTTTAGCAACAAACACCAAGAGATGATATGCTAGTTTTCATATGTAATGTATACCTATAAGGGTTTACTTTTATAAATTATTACTTGGATGGAGAGTTAAATTATTGTCTCATTGGCACTCATACCACATCTTCCTATATCTATCTACAAAGAAAACTAGGCCAATAAGTGCCTAATTTTCTGGAAAGAAGTAAATAAACAATATAAGGTCAAGTCAGAAAAATATAAACTTTTTTGTATGAGGCTGAGAAACTGGGGAAGGGTGCAACTTAAACTAATACAATGATAGCTTTTTAAATTGTAACACAAATGTCCAACTTATTTTCATCTCTTAATGAACCACTGATTGTGGAGAAAGTGTTCCATGATGAAATTGACATTGCACAAGGTCCAAGGATACAGTTATCGTCCTTTGGTTTTCGTTGTCTACAAATATAGTCCCTAGTGTGAACAGTGTATAACTTGCATTTTTTTTTGATACACTTTCCCAATTTATTTCTTGCTATTTTATGCATGAAATATTAAGTAAGGGGATGAAATTACATGTTAATCAAAGAGCTGAAAGCTCTGAGGAAAAATGACGCCACTGTCTCTAATATTGTGATATTTTTTATGCAAGTCTTGATTTTCACATACCGTAATAAGTTTAACATTGCAACATGTCTCGTAAGTATTTAATTGATATTCGTATATGTGTCTGTTTTTTTCAGTACAAATGAATAGGTCAAGACTACCTGAATGATCTACAATATCCAATGACTACTGGCTGTTCTTTTGTACTAATTAAAATTGGTCAAGTCTTTCTATCCTATTAGGTCCAAGGACACAGTTATCATCCTTTGGTTTTCGTTGTCTACAAATATAGTCCCTAGTGTGAACAGTGTATAACTTGCATTTTTTTTTGATACACTTTCCCAATTTATTTCTTGATATTTTATGCATGAAATATTAAGTAAGGGGATGAAATTACATGTTAAAAAAATTTGGGTGCTGAATCTTTATGTTAAGTAGTGATTTGATCCAGTTAAAAAAGGTCAAAAATTAGAATGTCTGAAGCTGTCAAACTGAATTTTAGCCCCCCTTAACACAAAATTGTCAATATTTTGAGTTAGAGCTGGTAGAAGTTCCTATAATTTTGATATTATTTGTATCAATAGTAGTACACTACACTGTAAAAATCTTTTTAAGATAGAGCAGGTGCGATTTTTTTAATTTGAATTTATTGTCTAAAAGAAATGCACTACGAAATAACTGTGTTCTCGGGCCACAAACTATAGCTGTGTTACTTTATTTAAGAAATAAACACAACTAGTTGCAGTATAAATGAGAATATTTTCCTAAGAATGCTTCCTTTTGCTTATGTAATATAAAACAATTTATCAAAATAGTTATGATACTTGTAAGATAGTTGAACCTGTTAGTTTTACCTACCTCAGACAATAGACACCAAAGTTTTACTATTTCTTTACTAAATCCTGCGTGATGAACTGTAAAGGGTGCAAGTTGTACCTAGATTTAGAAATAAAAATGCTCTATGCTCTATATTAAATATACATTTATGCAGTATTTTTATTATTTCAAACAAATACTGCATATGGTAACACTATTTTACTTGTTGATCGATTAGTTAAAATAGTTACAGATTACAATATGTCTATATAGTTTAATCATTGGATTAAAAACAAAAGATATTTATAGATTATCGTTGATCATCTCAACAGATTGATTTTCTTGCTTCAGCTGGACGGGGAAAGTAAGATAAGCAATTGAGTTGAGATGACCAATGATAATCTCTTTATCGCTATTTAGCCTATGAAGATGTTGTTAATTTCCTGGACAACAGCACATGTTCCCTTAATTTCTAGCGATAATTTTCATCACTCAACTCTATTTTCATATCACTGACGACTCCGCTGAGAAAGGAAATTATCAGTCAACAAGATCAAAGGAAAATTCGTAAAATAGCAATAACAGTATATATTCTGGAAAACTGGAAAAAGCAAGGGTATATCAGATGGTTTTTTTTAACCCTAATTGGAACCTCAACGTACATTAATTGTTACTATGATACAGTTCCAAATGTGTAAGATGTTATTTGCCATAGGTTTCATGGATAGATGCAAAGTGATGATTATGACAGTCACAATAGTTTACATGGTCTGTTTCTGGATTCAACTGCAATTTCCCATGCATTGCTAAGTAATAAGTAACACTCAATTGAAATCACCAATCCACAACTGATTCCAGATTTCTATATAAAACATATAATTATTTAATGGATTCAGCAATTTAATGAGTTGGCACTTACAAATGACCTGAAGTCTTTCCCTTGGCTTGATTTGTGATATTTCACAAAGTTTTCTCCACATTTGTGATGAAAGCCCTTCCAGTCAGCTGCATTTAACGTTAGCTGTAAATTTTCCTGTAAGAAAGAACTAGAAGTATTAAAAGAACCAGAATTATCTTCAACTATCCTTAGCCAGCAACAAAACGGTTTTGATTATGCAATCTTTACCAAAAATGTTTTACCAAAGATTGATCTTAAAGTGTGCTGTGATACAAAACACTTCATAAATTTAAATACAATGTATAAACATTTCATAAAGATAAGCTGGCTTTTTATCAGCTGGAATTCACAACTGTATTCTACAATTTTCCAATAATAGAGACAATTACTCAGGATCCATTAAAAGTAAAGGGAATACATATTGTAAATTCGCCTAATCAGAATCTAAAGGACTATGGGTAATCTCATTGTTCGTACACCAAAATGAAAATAAAGTCACGTCATTGGTTGCATTTCTATTGTTTATCACGTTTTAAACCAATCACAACGTTTTGGTGTACGCTATTGTAAATATTACCCAGAATGCATTAGATTCTAAAACGGTATTGAACTTATTCTAACATTTGCATAGCTCAGTCCAAAAGTCTCAATGGTTAAGTTCAAATATGTATTTCATATTTCATAATTTGTTTCTTTAATGGACAATAGTATATGTCAATTTGATTTCAATGTATGTTCAGTAAATAATAATTAATAAATATAAAAAAGAAGATGTGGTATGATTGCCAATGAGACAACTCTACGCAAGAGTCCAAATGACACAAAAATAAACAACTATTAGGTCACTGTACGGCCTTCAATAATGAGTAAAGCCTATATATACACATTAACTTATGATCAATAATCATTAAAATTGAGTTAATTTTTACATTTATAATTTATAACTTGCTTTCATAAATGTAAGTTGCAGATGTGTCAGTATAATAACATGTTTTCCATATGAAAGAATTTAACAACATTATGTGCCATTATGTGTTTGACCCAATAGAAATAATAAACATTTGATGCTTCAAAAAATTGTGGTTATAATGCACCAATAGATACCATAGCTTGGTGTTGAGATTAGGATTAAGAATTTGAATCACACTAATTAATTTTACTTAGAACATAGACCTGTGAAAAAAAAATTATATTGTAGGCATCCAAAAGAAATAAATCAGCTAGACTATTACATAAATAAATTTTATAGTATTTAAAAGAATGATTAGCATTAAAACAAAAGATATCAAGTCACAATTACCTTCTGCTGGTCAGTACAGTTGCCTAGCATACATTTTAATAGGATTGCAACTTCTCCTAAGTATATGCAATGAAGCATATCTGGAGGAATGTCCCTGAAATTATAATTAAAAAGAAAACAATAATTAAACAGTGCAGCTGGTTGTTTAGCTTTAGTAAAACTGTGGATTTCTTGATATCATATGTGATACCTATTGTAAGAATATTTTTATTGCAGTTTTATTATAAATTATTGATTAAATCAATAATGAATCTTGATTTAGGTGTAACAAATTTACAGAATACAAATATATATGGTTCTTAAATTAACTACCCTGCACCTGTACCTTATGATTTATTGTAAACATTACCGTAATCCACAACTTCTGTCTCAGAAAGTTAGACATAGGGATAGTGATCCAGCGGCGGCAATGCCAACTAACTTTTTAAAAGCTTTATGATCTAAGAAGTTGGAAGACATGCATGTTTCATACTTTGTTTATGCCTCATGTTCATAAGCTTTTGCCTGTCATACGTCCATTGTCCTTAACCTCACTTTCATGGTTCAGTGATTATTTGAAAAAAAAAGTTCAGATTTTTTGTAATGTAAACAATTGGCAGAGCTCAGCATTCTCAACATTCCTGTGTATGTGTGGGCCTCACAATATATATGAAGTGTGCATGTCCAAAGCTAAGTTTCAATTTTCAGTGCATGTAATTGTTTTTGCTTCTTGTATATATAACTATAAAATGATTATATATTGTAATTCTAATAATGCTTTCACACCATATATAATAATATATAATAAAGTCATGCATACCTGTGTGGATCCCAATGAGCAGCTTGGTTCATTTCTTCAGCCAATATTTTCTTTTTTATCCCAGTCATTGTTGATGTTTCTGTACTATTTTCAATCTCTTTTAGAATTTCCTCAGTTTTATTTTTTGTTCTTAATTCTCCAATAAGTAAGTGGTTATTTCGATACTGACAAAAAAAGGAACAAGATAAAATATATATGATTAATTTTTAGTCATTGGGTTTTTGTAAAAAAAAAATGTGATCCAATTCAAGACCATAAAATATAGGACCTGAATAAATTAGCAGACTGGGAACATTGATGGCTCATAAAGTTTAATGCAGACAATTCTAATGCAATTTTTATGTAACAATTTTTTTCATTGGCTAAAAGTTACCATCAAATCCACAGTTGACCAGGCGTAACTAAGGAGGGACCCGCCATTTTGAATTGATTGAATCAATAAATGTTCAATTACTAATATCATCGAAAATAAAACAACACCTACCTCGAATTCACCGTTTTAATGTAATTTTATCCGAATTTGAATCGCAGAGGTAACGTAATAACGTCCAGTTTGTAAGTTTTCATTTGTATGACGTCACGTTTAGCCATGACGTCTTCGAGCCAAAATCATTCACTAAGTTTCGCAGAATTTATTTTGTATGTCAAATTTATACATTTTTTCAAGCTTTATCGTATTATTTCTTTTTGTAATGTATTAGAATCTGAATAACAGTACTGTAGTTAAAGAGTTGCCACCGTTAATTTTGATTTGAAGGCCGCAAATCTCCGTTTTACTGTCTCCGCTAAGCGTCACCAGTAAAACTACATTTGCGACCGTCAAATGGACAATTGACGGTGGCAACTTTTCAACTACAGTACTTTTATTCCTTAAATGCAATGTCATTTCTATCAGCAAGAAATGATAATGATCAAATTCAAGGGGAGATAATAAATATTTAAACAGGTTGTTAATGCAGATCAGTCAGTTTCAGTGCTATTTTGTGAAATATCAAGAAAAGTTTTGACGTATATTTACAATTGGTAGAGCTAAACATTCTGAACATTTTTGCCCCTTTCAGATTTTCAATATTTATAACAGCTTCAAAATAATAAACAAAACTTGCTTTTTACCCTTATGTTCTATTTTCAGCCATGTAGGACATGTTGGTTGGCAGGTGGGGGTCATCAGACACATATCTTAAAACAAGACACCCTAATAATGATTATTGCCAAGATAAGTTCAATTTGGCTAAATAGTTTCATAGAAGAATTTTGTGAAAGTTTAAGAACGATGGCAGAAATTACCAAGTGATGGCCATGAGAGCTAAAAGAGGATTTTAGTTTTTGGACAAGTAACCCAAAAGAGCTTTAAGCAGTGTTCATGAACTTTTGGGAACTGTTTATAGCTATTGACATGAATTTCATATTGTATAAGTCATAGATTTAAAACTGTGTCCTGTAGACCTAGCTTATTTCAACAGAAGAAAAAAAGAAAACAATTTATCATATGTCAATAAACCTTTATAATATTACACAGCAATGGAAAAAAGGAAACCTGAGACTATTGTTGACTCAGATACTATTTATCAGTGATAATATTTATCATTAATTGTCTTACCCTGCAAAATCTACAGTTTTCTTTAGCTGCAGCACCCATGTGGTGACAAAATTCTGAGGCCATACTGTTGTCCATTAACCCAACTGCTATTTGGGATGTTACAATAACATTTTTATTGTAAGCTGCATCATACATTACTTTTCCTTCACTAAAATTTAAATACATTGATCAAGTTTGGGATTTCATGTATTCTGATTTGACTCAAAATTCTCATATTTGATTTATAACAATGTAAAATATTTATCCAAATTATAAAAATTCTAAAATAAACAATATAATAGCTCGATAATATGTAGCTTCATTTCTTGTGTATTTTAGTCTAGGCGCCATATAAATAACTGTCAATTGGACCACTGATAATAAGCGATATAAATCATAGCGCTATAGACAGTTAACCATGTATATTTATTTAATGAATTGATTAAGGCAAATTAATTAATATTTTTCAATTGATTTGTTTTATTGTCCTATACAAGTATATATATGGTTTAGGTGGGGATCGGGCCCATAGTGTTCTAGTTAACCCTTCCCTTATTCAGGCCCCTTAAAATACCCCTAAATAGACCCCAATGCACAAACGAGAGATCGATGACTCCGCGAGACATGTTATTGAGTTCTTTTCAATGTTTGTCTCTGTTCAACCTAAATCTGATCAGATAGAGATGAAGTACTAGCCATTAGCAACTACCACCTTACAGGTGTTGCTCTACACTGACCCTCTCTTGTAAAAATATACACATCAAAGAGTCTTTTTCTTGAAAGTATTTTTTTTTTCTATTTTGCTAATTAATGTTTACACTTACTAAAACATGTCATTCAAATCATTCACCACAGGTGTAACGAATGACCCGTCTTCTGGTTTTGTTACTCCAATGAAATGATGTGATGATTTCTTCATCTTTTCAGAAGTTGGTAATCCTGCCAACTGAAGAGTCCACACACTTAATGGGTTCCATTTTTTTGACCTGTATAATGTTTATATAAGTAATTGTCTTATACAGTCTAATGAAATTTATGTAAGCAATTGTAGGCTTGTGTACACAGCTTTGATCATGTTGATCAACAATGAAAAAAATCCATACAGTATTTCCCACATGAAAAAATGTCACTATTCAACTGAGAAAACAAAAGTTTTAATCTATAACAAAACAATTTACGAAAAACAAATATGGTTTACACTAGTTCAGTGGTTTCATCAGAGAAGTCAAATTGAGAATGGAAATGGGGAATGTGTCAAAGAGACAACAACCCGACCATAGAACAGACAACAGCAGAAGGTCACCAACAGGTCTTCAATGCAGCGAGAAATTCCCGCACCCGGAGGCGTCCTTCAGCTGGCCCCTAAACAAATATATATACTAGTTCAGTGATAATGAACGCTATACTAAACTCCAAATTGTACACAAGAAACTAAAATTAAAAATAATACAAGACTAACAAAGGCTAGAGGCTCCTGACTTGGGACAGGCGCAAAAATGCGGCGGGGTTAAACATGTTTATGAGATCTCAACCCTCCCCCTATACCTCTAGCCAATGTAGAAAAGTAAACGCATAACAATAAGCACATTAAAATTCAGTTCAAGAGAAGTCCGAGTCTGATGTCAGAAGATCTATTTTCATATTTAATGATAGATAAAGAACGATCCACAATGACAATAACTTTCACTAACCCTTTTGGGAGTATTGATACCTGTTATCAAATCACTATTTTAAAATTTAAATAATTTTACAATTTCTTGCATGTTTATACTCTATGTACCTGTTACCACTTGTGTCATCTACAAATATATTTATAGGAACTGTGTATATGTCCATGTCTAGCTGTTTTGACATCTCAATCAGATTTTGTACTCTTTCAACATCATCACCCTCATACACCTAGTGAAGAATAATAGCAAGTGAAACAAACATCATCCAAAATACACTAAAAACTTAATTGATTTTTGACCTAGTTTTCTCTCAAATTTTTTGAGAAAAAAAATAACGTTTCATGTATTTGCCTTATCTCATCTGTCATGTCATCTGTCTTGCTGAAGATAATTATGTCTTTTTGATTCCATAAAAATAACCATTCAATAACTTGACAAACAGATTAATGAGTAATGTTTTTGCTTTCCCTGCTAAAGTACTTACTTTTTTGTATAATGATTAGTGACTGAACATATGTTTTTCTTTTAAACTAGTGGCATACTTTTTTTAAAATTTATTTTATTGGTAATTTTTGTTTTAGTAATTACTTATATATAGACGTAGTGTCCCGTACGAAATAAGTAGTAGGATTCCACCTAGACACTAGTAGGAATGTAGTAGGAATCTACCTAGAATCAAAGATTCTGTAAAGAAAGTAGACGGACAGGGAAAATGAACAAAATTCTGACTGGATTTTTTTATTTTCTCACTAGCAAAATCCTACCATCTAGCAGGAATTTTAAAAGTCTGTATGGATTTTTTTCTGTTTTGAAAATCTTAAGTGGGAATTTAGACAGGAAATATGATTAGATTACTCATTTTCCTACTACAAGATTCCTACCAGAATTTATTTAATCCTACTAGAAAATGTTTTTACATGGAATCTTTTTAATTATCTTAAACTGGATTCCTGTTTGCTAATGACACAAATTTTGCTGTGTTGACTGCAACCAAGTTCCAGTTCACAAATTCAAAAGTTAGAGGGTAGAAGAATGAAAAGTTGTGTTGGAACACAACGCTGCAAGGATCAAACAACTACAATATTGAAATATGAGAAAATATGGCTCATGTTGATTGAAGGTAATTTTTATACTTTTAAGGTAGATGGGGTGTCTAAATTATAATCCATAGAATTTTTTTAAATTTGCCAAAATGTAGTTAATATCATGCTTTTTAAAAAAATATAATAAAAAGAATGGGTCACAGGCCTTATTTTCACGCTACAGGTTGTGCAAAATTGACAGATTTTGTATAGATTATGCATGGAAAACCCAATTTTCTGCCATAAAATGAAAACTACACCATAGAATTTTGAGATAAAATATGAAAAGATAGCACTAATAGTATGCTTTCAGATAAGAAAAAGAAAAAATGGGGTCACCGTACCCGTTTTCTTGCTACATAATAAAATAGGTAAATTCCTAACACATTCTATTGTAAAAATAACCTTATGTGAATTATCTGCCCTTACATTTGAGTTGCCTCCCCTTATGTGGCAACGTTGGGAAATATAGAATCAAACAAAAGTATTCATTTTTTTGTAAAATACAACAATAAATATGATAAAATATGTCATTTTCTATATTGAAATGAAAATTCTTACACATGAATTGCCTACTACTCTCAAAATTTGTACCTTTTATTATAGATCTAGACTGATTGTTTTCTGGTATTTCAAAATCCAAGATGGAGGAAGACACCCTATCTACCTTAATATGAAATATGTTATCTGTTTGCCAATATATATTAGTTAATTCAACAACAGTGCATAACTTTCCTCATTATTTGTTCATAACTCTTTAATTTCATCTAATCAACATTTTTGTCCATCTACATATATAACACAATTTCTAACTTGAATACATCACAGTTTCCTCATACATTTCAAAAGTCATTTTTTTTAATAAATCTATTCCATACATTTCCTTTGTTCTTTGTTGTTGAGATTCAAACTTAAATGATTGACCCAGTTGTGTATTTGTGAATATACACTTACATTTTGTATATTTTTAGATTCCTACTAGAAAATATGTTTTTTCTATGTGGAATTTTGAAAAATTCCTACCAGGTTTTCTAGTAGGAATTTTATTTTCCCGCCAAATTATTCCTAATAATTTAAATATTCATGGTAGGAATATACAATATTCCTACTAAGAAATTCCTGCTAATTTAAATTTTTCGTCTTATAATTTTCCGTGTGGATTCCTACTGGAGTCTGACTGGAATATAACTCTTTTCTGGTAGGAATTCATTACAATATTCCTACTATATTCCGTGTTCATTCTGTGTGAAATATTTCATACAGGGTTATTTAATTTGATCGCATCATCATCAAAATATAAACACACAGGTATTAATCTAGTAGCTCATAATATTATAGGATTAAACGCCTTTTTAAAGGAATTTAATGGTGTATAAACTCGACCAATTCACTCACAAACAAATAAAAGTCCGAAGGACTTTTATGATATGTTTGTGAGTGACTTGGTACAGTTTATACACCAATAAATTCCTTTAAAAAGGCGTTTAATCCTTATAATCCACACTCGTAACCTCTATCACACGTAAATTGTATATTTGTGTCATTGAATAGGCCTGGCGCATGAATATATTTGTTGGTAAACGCAAAAATATGTACTCCGTGAAATTTGCAATCTGATAAAAAATAAACTACAAAAACTCTTATTATCATTCAAACGAATGTTTTGTGTTTATTATTTAATTTACATATTAAGACCTATTAACGCGAACTGAAAATTAATTTTGTTAACGTCAATCCGGATTGTGTCATTATCGCCGCCATCTTGTTTACATTGGTTACGAAAAGAAGTTCGGTCAACGTCGTCTATCGAAAAATAAACAACGTCAAGAACAACTACTGGAAGTCCTCTCAACCAATCATATCAACGTATTCTCTAATATGCAAAGCATATAAGAATTATTTTTTTATAACAAACTCACATTTGTCTGGTCCAACTTCAACAGATCATTTGCTATCACAGATATATTTCTTGTACTACAAATAGAGATTACAATTATATTAAAACTCACAGTTACCAAAAAATACAAACATAATAAACATTTCCTGAAAATATCTATTACTTGTACTGCTGAAATTTTTGTATATGATTTAATTTTTACATCTAGATATGGTGAGTTTGAATTAGTAACTTAATTTCAAAAGTTTTAATGTGAACCAAATGATTACATTACATGTATGTTTCAGAAGAATCCGTTATTTTGATTGGATAACAACGCTTGTTCGTCATACTAGAATTCACCTTCATAGCCCAAAAGTTCATAATGACACATGCTATCCCAAAAAAGTGCACAGGTTATTTAAAGAAATGACAAAAATAGATTGTCCATTGTCATAGCGAAAAAATGTAATTATAAATATTGAATGCTTCTTTTACTAATTTCATATGGTTGTAAAAGCGTTGACCATGCGCACATTTTTAGAATGAAGCGCTTCCACGCTTCGTACAAAATGTACTTCAGTCAAAGCTTTTACACCCCAATGAATTTACTTTTACACCCCAATGATTTACTTTTACACCCCAATAAATTTACAAAAAGAAGCATTCAATTCTTAAATGAAACTGTTTACAGAGATCTCCCCTATTGATAATTGGATTTAAACATTTTTAACTTCACTTGTCCTATTTTCTCAGTTATTTTTATTCACTGGGACCTTTTAATTTCTTCTATTAAAGAGAAATCCCATCACTACCTGAGTAAAAAAATATCCTTCATGTAGATGAAAGTGCATATATCAACTAAAATAAACAGTTGCGCCATGAGCGCATGATACGCCCGTCGTCTTGTGTGTGAATTTTTATGCAATAAGCATAAATAGTTTCTGACATACGGCGTGACATGCGAAAACCCCCTTCTTTTTTTTTACAAAAAAACTCAATATCTCTAAAACTAAATTTTGAATCAAAACCAATAAATTACACAGATCTTTAAATTAATATAACTAAGAAGTGTGTAAAATTTTATGCAATAATCATAAATCGTTTTTGAGATACGGCGCGACATGTGAAAAACCCCTCCCCCTTTTTTTTACAAAATACTCAATAACTCAAAAATAAAATTTTGAATCAAAACCAAAAAGTATACAGATCTTTAGATTAATATAACTAAGAAGTGTGTAAAATTTTAAGCAATAATCATAAATTGTTTTTGAGATACGGCGCAACATGTGAAAAATCCCTCCCCCTTTTTTTACAAAATACTCAATAACTCAAAAATAAAATTTTGAATATCACCAAAAAGTATACAGATCTTAAGATAAATATAACTAAGAAGTTTTAAGCAATAATCATAAACTGTTTTTGAGATACGGCGTGACATGTGAAAAAAAACACACACCTGTTTTAGTTACTAAGTCCTGTAACTCAAAAAGTTTTAATCTTATTTTCACCAAAAAGTATACAGATCGTTTGACCATCATAAGAAACAATTATGTTAAGTTTCATGAAATTTGGATAAGTCATTCTCAAGTTACAGTGCGACATGTTTACGCCGGACAGACAGACGGACGGACACCAGACATTTGTATACCATAATACGTCCCGTCAAAAATTGATGGGCGTATAAAAAACTGCATGAGTGCATGTTGTATTTATTCAATATTATATTTTCAATCTGTTCAATGTTAATAATTAAAAAAAAATGCAGATTCACTGGTTTGATACCAAGATAAATTCCTGCTACACATTGAAATAACCATGCACTGTTATTTTAAGAAGAAAAAACAGCATTTAATGATGTTCAATTGCTGTCCTCAACTTTTATAATGTACAAAAAATGAATGTATACCAGTTCATTATTTTATTTCTCTTTACATTTGTAGTGTTTATACCAACCTTTCACACTTTACAGATGCATATACTTGATGTGTATTTTCAAATTCCTAAAAAACATAATAATAAGTGTCAATGACAATATAGGATGTAGTTGCCATGTCTAAACAGATGACTGAATCTGAGCTAAAGAAGTCATATACAGTTATAAAAATATTAGATACATGTGTGAACAAAGGTTTTCTTACATAATGTGTTTAAATTTAAAATGTGTTACTTGTTTAAGGCAAGATCCACAACTTTCGTTCATATATATTCAGAATTGTTACACTTAACATGCAATGATAACATTTTAATTCAATTATACAACGTACAACATGTCAGAGTAGCTGTACTTTATTGACTTAAAATAACCTTATTCCTGTGTCATTTGGTCTCTCAGAAGTGGAAATAACATTTCTTCATTAAATCTACATTATTACCTGGGAATAAAACTGAACAACAGTTCCACACTCTCCATTTGTGCCATTCTGAACGTTGTCACCAATATATATTCTTTCTGAAGATGAATTTTTTGCCATCAAAGACTTTATTTCAGTCTTCCACTTGCTTCCACTACTTTGACCTTCAAAAAAGTTGCTTTGTCTGGGAAATCTATTTTTGAAAGAAAAAAAATGTTATTATAAAGGGGCCATCATCAGAGGAGGAATGGAAGATTAATGTTTGCACCCTTTTAATAAAGATACAGTAACTGTGATAACCGGTGGTTAAGAGTTAACCTGAGCTGTTCAGTAAACAGGCTGTTCTGTTAATTGGCGGTACAGTTATCAGGTAGATCAGATATATATCAGGTGGATAAATATGAATCTTGTTGATATCTAAACAGGTTCAATTATCCTGTCAGTGAAAAATCCCGATGGGATGTTCAATGGTTACACATGTTACAGTACCTAATCTTTATTAAGCTAATGTACATGTTACAGTTAACATTTTGACATGTTACGGTAAACATTTTGACATGATACGGTAAACTTTTTGACATGATACGGTAAACATGTGACCTGATGATATAACTCAAATTTGGGCTTGAGCATTGGGTATAGGATGTTTTAATTATTGATGAAGTACATGGTAGTCACTAAGTCTTGATCTTTGGCTTATGATCAGGGGTCGAATTTAAGCTTTTATGTATACTGGCCAGCCGGACCAGTGGACTGAATAATCTACTGGTCCGGGTGCAAATCTACTGGTCCTGCAAAAATGACATTAATTTGACAAACACTAATATAAATGATAGATATTTACTTTTATTTTCGTGCTTTCTTTTACATATGTTAGACAAGAAAAAGAGAGAATCTCCATCCTGATTTTGATAATGGCTTTGATAATCTCAATGATTTTCTTTATCAAAATCAGTATCAAGAACAGAAAAAATGTCAACATTGTCTTCCATATCATCACAATCCTCACGACGACCATAGGGCGCCTGACAGGGTTGTCTGGAGCGCTGCCCAGAAATGCCACATTTGAATAGCCGGGACAAATTTTTCACTTGTTATTTAATTCACTACATTGCGATCGACTATATAATTTAACAATTCACGATCTTTTTCCAAGGATTTTTTATATTAACCTTTCCTTTTGTCAATTTCTTAAACTTTATTCCAATCTTCCTCTTGAAAGACACTTTTTTATTTTTTTGTCGAGATGTCCTTCCAAAAATTTCCACATTTTGTGTTGTTGTGAAGGACGCTCACGATATTAATTAACTTGATCAATTGTAATACTTAGTACCGCCAGTACAGTGTAATTGATTTTGCAGGTAAAATTGTTTGCAAACAAACCTATTTTGGGATGCAATCGGAGTTTTATCGACAAATTTCTACTGGTCCGCCGGACCACCAGCTGACAAAATCTACTGGTCCAAAGCAAATTCTACTGGTCTCGGTCCACCAGACCAGCGCCAATTTTGACCCCTGCTTATGATACATCTAAATATCAAGACTTGAAATAGTATATTACATGGTAGTTTACCAGTATTTCATTTCAAGCTTTGCCCAACTAAATCTTGATAATTGTAAAGAAAATCTGTACATATTTCAATATTTTTAAAATTCTTAACTTTCTTTTCTATAAATAAATAAAAAATTTCAAAGAACCATTAAATTGTTTGTGACTGTTGAGTATTTTTCTATTATAGCCATTATCTTTGACTCATGAGTTTGAATGTCCCTTTGGTATCTTTCACCTCTCTTTTAGACTTAAGATAACACTTAAATAACTTAAAGCTGATGAAACAATTAAGTGGTAGGCTGGTATAAAGAATAATAGAAAAATAACATTATGAACTACCTTTGTAACTGTATTGCTGTGTTTTTCTTTGAAAGCTGCATTTCAATTATACTAGATGGCTTTATGTAAAAGATGTCTTTGTCGGTATCTTTATTAGAAGACTGAAAGAAAAACATTAAAGTTTGTCTTTAATCAATATAAATTGCCTCTCCTGGTCCCTATATTAATTTCCAAACCCTTATTAGAAGACTGAAAGAAATAACATTAAAGTTTGTCTTTAAACAATATACAATTATGGCCCGTTGAAAAGGTGAATATCCAAAATTGTCAACACAAGAAGGTTATTTCAATGAGGGCGCAGCCCGAAGTGAAATAACTTTTAAGGGTTGACGATTTTGGATATTCATGGATTCTAAGGGCCACAATTGTTTTATGATATACCGAACTAACAGTGGAAGGGCATTTAGAACACTTACTATCTTCTTTACATAACAAACACAAGCTGAGGTTTGAAAATACATTTGTGTTCTGGAATTTCTCGAATGTACAACAAAGGTAGAATCTTTTTGTAAAATATTGATGGCCCTGAAAAGGACCGTTTATAAGAGATATCATTGGCTGCTGGCACTCTATTCATGTCCAAAGCCTTATTTCCTCGTCTCTCGATAGGCTGTCAGTGTAACGTGAACGATGCCATTTTGTTTATTTACGTCTGTGACGTCATTTTCATGGGAGATAACTCAAGTGCAAATCTAGACACTCAAAAGGTTATTCGCCGGTGAATGATAGGGTCATTCATTGCTGGTGTAAATTTTAATGGTTATTCGTCCCCCTTGCAATTAAATGAAAATTAACTGAATTATTCCATGTCACGTGATAAGGTGTTACCCAATAGAATTGTTTGTAATATATGTAAGGTATAATAATATAAATTGCCTCTCCTGGTCCCTATATTAATTTCCAAACCCTATCATTTTATAATCTATCCATTATTATAATTCAAACAAGGAAACTAACTGCACAATTCATGCACAAAGCAATAAACCAAAAAAAATGACAAATATGGCATAATTATATTCATCTTACAGCTTTGTAAGATATTGAAAAGTTCTCTGAAATTCTTAGTATCATAATTTTCTGGTTTTTTGTTGAAAATTTTGCATGGTCATATTAGCAATTTGTGATTGTGCTATGGAATTTTCTCTTTCTGACTTTTCGATGTTCATCTAAAATTTGTAGTGGTAAAATCATGGCAATTTTTTTTAAATAAGTAATACATTGTACATTATAACATACATACATTTGTAGGGAAAATTTCATTACTATCCATTTTCAATTAAAAGTATTCTAAAAATAGCAAATTTGTCAAAACAGCTAGATTACATGTATCTTACCACTGATGGTTTAAGTTCTAAAATTATGTGTAAAATAAACTTAAAAAGTTCTTGATCCTAAAAATAGAAAGTTTTGCAATGTACACCATTGTTCCAGGTTTGGCGAAGGGTTTGGTTAACCAGCAACTTCCTGTATGTGGAAGTCTGCATGCATGTAGTTCACAATTTTAGTGGTCATCTTTTTTGGCTGTTAAATTATACATCATATTTGTTTTTCATTTTTAATATTTTGTACAGTATAAATTAAATCAGGCCATTAATTTTCTTTTTTCTATTGTTTATTATTTGTCATTTCTGGGCCTTCTATCATGATATAGCTTACTTTGATGCATTAGTTTTACTCATAGTTGAAGGTTGTGCTTAGACAAGTAGTTGTTGTCATTTAATTATCACTATCAGGATGAGTTCATAGTCTCATTGGCAATCATACCACATCTTCTTAAAGTCATATGAAACGAATTACTGGTGAAAAATAATATTTATCCAATTCTTGAAATGCATTTATATATCATAAAGAAACTTCAGTGCAAGATTTTTTCATATTTTTATGCATCCATATAAAGTGTATTTTTGGAAATTGATACCCCGGGGGGGTTAAATCCTATATTTTTAGTGGTACGAGTGTGCCGCAAAACAGGGTCGCTTTTTAATGCCCTGCTGGTTAGAACAGGGTCCCTTTTCATGTCCTGCTGGTTAGAACAGAGTCATTTTCTTGGGCGTGTCTAGAACAGGGTATGTTTTTCAATATATCTGTTTAGAACAGGGTATATTTTTCAATGTTTTCTAGTTAGAACAGGGTATGATTTGGCAAGTGCTGTCGGCACAGTTATAGCCGAAAGGATAGTCAGTAACCCCCCCGGGATTGATACTAATTTGCTTGACCGGACACCATGATTGCAAGATTGAAGATTGCAATATATATGATAATAAAAGCGCTTACTATACAGTGATATTTTGATCCACGTAACACGTAGAGCAGTAGCTCTAGCCTGTTGGCGAAAGGGAAGTAGTCGTCTGTAAAAATCTCTGAGTCATCGAGTTCCTGTTTAGTTGCACTGTCACTGTCAATGTTGAAGTTCTCTTGCCACACATCATTTGTCTCTGTACTTTGTTCTTCTTCACAAAACTGCAATAAACCTATTACATCTTTATGCTTTTTTGTTTCTAGATGTTTGCAGTAATTGCTCTGTTTTTCTGTTGAAAATTCGCAAGGATTACACTGAAACATTTCAAATGCAGAATCAGAAGCAGAATGCTCGTGCAGTGATCAGGTGATTGAAGCGCTTGTAAAAGCTCTTTAGAACACGTCGATTCAAACGTTTTTAAAACCTTGGAGTATAATTTTCGTCTGCAACTATTTCACGAGACATATTATAAAGATTAAAAGAAGACATATTTTTAAAACAAAAAAAAGAAGAATTTTTGATAGTCTTAGAGAGACAATAACAGGTGATTTGCAAAACACTAAAGTAACGTATATTTTGATATAAAAGTAAGATGAAGTCCAACAAGTCACTTACACGTGGCTAATTTACATACGATCTATCCATTGGTGTCTTCACTGAAGCAGATAATAGAAAATCATTGAAACCATTGAGGGTCTTCAGGGTATGTTTAAAAAAAAAATGCAATAGAAATTGTCGCACGGAACACGAGTAGATCTATTCCGATTTAATGGAGACGTGAACGTTGAAAGATCAAAGATCGCCGAGCTCAGTCGCCGAGGGTCATCGTCACAAAGGAGAAGGTTCACGAAGGGTTAAAATTGGCCCTATTTTGTTATGTTTTTTAAATGGGGCAAAAAAATTACAAACCGGGTAAAAATCATTTATAGTATACGATGGATTTACTTTCCATTTTGACAGAATATAATAAAACGGACTTATTCTGCTTGAAATCCCACTTGGGTTCCACTTCCTCGTTGGTGTGTAGGGAACTCAGAGTCAGATTAACGGAAATGGTATTTGTACTAGTAAATAATTGAATAAATTAATAAATAAATAAGTACTATTACCTGTAGTTACCTAATAAATAGCCAAATAAATGCGCGCAAATGTTATCAAAAGCTGCGCGCAAACGTAATGATTCTTGCTCGCAAATGTAATGTTAATGAGCGCAAACGTAATGCACCGTCATATATACAAGTCATACAAGTCTTAATTAAAAAGGAGCCGGGAGGTCGAGTCATGCTTCAGTGATTCCCTATATAATCAACCAAATTGTTCCCACGAAAGGGGGCGGACTAGACCCCCTGGGTCCGCATATGAATATACACAAAACGTTCACAGTATATATCAACAGATGAAGTATTCACTTTAAAAAGGAAATTTATGGAAACGTCGCCATGCAACGTTCTCAAAAAGTCATCATTTAAACCATGGAAGTAATATTCAAACAATATTACTTCCATGTTTAAACTGAATGAGCAAATTAAATATGTTACAAGCATCCATTTCTTAAAAAAAATGAAAAGTGAGCACGGACTAATGTGAAGTTTATCCAGGAACATATATGTTAGATATACTGTTCCCAGGTTGTTCTAAATATTTGAAGAAATTGAACAAAACATCTGTTATTCAATTTTTAAGGATGTGAACACTAACTTGTGATTATCATCTAAATAGATATAAGAAGATGTGGTATGAGTGCCAAAATTTTTTATAAAATATCAAAAAATAACTCTCCATCCTAGTAACAATTTGTAAAAGTAAACCATTATAGGTCAAAGTACGGTCTTCAACACAGAAGCTTAGCTCACACCGAACAGCAAGCCATAAAGGGCCCAAAAAATGACAAGTGTAAAACCACTGAAAAGGGAAAATAAACGGTCTATAATCTATATAAAAAATGAGAAGCGAGAAACACTTATGGACCATATCAACAAACGACAACTACTGGGCATCAAATTCCTGACTTAGGACAGGTGCAAACAAATGCAGCGGGTTTAAACGTGTTAAAGTATTAACATTTTCATTCATACCCCAGAAATTCGTTGCCCCCTCATTGTAGTTCTACCCAATAGCTATATAATTTATGAGGGCATGCAGAGTCTATAATTCCTAGCTATATATAACTGCCGGTGCAATGGGTTTGAACAAGTGGGTGACCGAAGTGTATATTTGATCAGATTTTTCTTTTTTTCTGTGTAACGGACGGAATTTTGGGCCTTTAACAATGCTTACCCCAGAAATTTTTTACTCTAACCTTGAAGTACTATCCAATAAATATTCATTAGGGCAGCATCTATAATGCCTAGCCATAAAGAACTACCGAGACAATGGGTCGAATTTGGCTTTATTTCCATGTTACGGACGCAAATTTCGTTCTCTATGAATGATTATCCCATAAAATCGTTCCCCTCGTTGTAGTACTACCCAATAGTTATTTATTAGAGTAGAGTCTATAATCCTTAGCCATACAGAACTGCCGGTGCAATGGGTTTAAACTAGTGGGTGACCCCAGTGCATCTTTGATAAAATTGGACTATTTTTCCGCGTTACGGACGGAACTTTCGGCCTTTAAGAATGCTAACCCAGAAATTCTTTACCCTCACCTTTTAGTACTATCCAATAGCTATTCATTAGGGCAGCATCTATGCTGCCTAGCCATAGAGAACTACCGAAACAATGGGTCGGAAAGTGGGTGACCCGAATGCGTATTTTATCGAATTTGGCTTTATTTCCATGTTACGGACGTAATTTTCGTACCATAGGAATGTTCATCCCATAAATTCGTTGCCCCTTCGATGAAGTACTACCTAATAGCTATTTATAAGAGCAAAGTCTATAATCCCTAGCCATACAGAACTGCTGGGGCAATGGGTTTAAACAACTGGGTAATCCCAATGCATATTTGATCAAATTTGACTTTTTTACCGTGTTACAGACATAAGTTGCTGCTTTAATTATGTAATAAGTATATATTTTCTTTACTATCATTCCTAGATCCAGATATGGCTGAAATGCTGAGAAAACTTTTCTTGATGCCACTTGAGGTATAACATGTATATAAATCATTATTAAGTATTAGATAGTAGAAAACATCTACGCTTAGAAAAATTAGATAAACTGTGCTGGGATGATAACACAAAAGTTGTCTTCTTGTTTTGATTATTCTCATTATGTCGCCCAGAATTAGGTATATTTTTTAAAGACTCAACAATCAATGAAGTCTTCAATTGGAGTGACAAACTTCAAACAGAATTTAAGTGAACGAATTTAATGTAGCCACCGCACAAACGGCCATTTCATGATGTATAACATTCGAAAGATTGTTATTTGTACTTTCTCCTTCGTCCGTTTAAAAAAAAAATACATGGTAAATTCCGTTAAATCGAAGTCAAATGTGAAGAATTAACAGTTCAAAATTTTCATAGAATTAAACAAAAAGCTTATACTAAAATGTATGAATATGATCATATAAAAGCTGGAAAATTGAATACTGTCAGCAGTTTTAAATTCATCATCTAGATGGTTTGTAGATAAAAAGTTCTTGCTGCTAAACCATATATGTCTTTATGTCTTTCATCATAAAATAGAATGAAGTAGAAGAAGAAACAGAAAGTGCAGAAAATCTTCAAAGAAATCAAAATAGAGTGGTTGGTAGAACTTGGCATTAACCTTCTATATATTTTTAAGAAACAATTGACACAAAAACTGTATTCAAAGCAGACATACAACTGCACAAAAAGATTTAGGTAACAACTGACAAAGGTTCTGTGAACGTAATAGCAAAAGTGAAATGACTTTTTGATTATTTATAAGAAATGAATTATATACATAGTGATTTTAGCATCGTTTTTGTAATTACATTATGGCTGTTAAATTGTTGACTAAGTACACATGTTCAGCAAGCTCCTGAGGTTCACACAAAGTGTGCCTCGATCAACGTTTTACATCACATTGAATCTACTTAAACGATTCATTCAAATGTTTATGGTACAAGATAAATTTTCGTCATAGTTGTCTTGGCATCAAATAGAATTATCAAAATTGAGAATGGAAATGGGCAATATGTCAAAGAAACAACAAGACCAAAAACCAGACAACAGCCGAAGGCCACCAATGGGTTTTCAACGCAGCAAGAAAATCCCACAACAGGAGGTGGTCCTCAGCTGGCCCCTTACTAAAATTGTGTACTAGTTCAGTGAAAATGTACGTCACACTAAACTCCAAAACATATAAATAAACTAAAATTGAAAAACATGCAAGACTAATAGAGGCTCCTGAATTTGGACAGGAGCAAAAATGTCATATATTTTGACTGGAGCATGAAACTTCAGTTTAAGTGTTTACTCAAGTTTTGATCTGTAATGCAGACACTTCTTCAACTTGTTTGAAAGATAAAGTGAAATTTTACAACACATAAGCAGAATTTATAGTTTTCTATGAAAATGTTTTAAGGTTCATTTTCATAGGATAACGTCACCAATTTTCATGGTATCAACAATTGGTGCTATTTAAACGTGCGCGAATGTGCAATCGACGTATGACAAATTTAAATGTATATTGGACGTTGTTTTCTGTCATTTTCATTAGAATGGAGATAACAATGTTGTATTTTAAGCTCTGACGGCATCAATTGGTGATTTGATGGTGACAAATACCCGTACTCTTAATTTGCGACCATCAAATAACCAATAGATGCCGTCGTACCTTAAAATACAATACAGATATCTCCTAAGTATTCGTCATTAACGATTTATGCTGCCCTTAGCATTATTTTAGTAACCATACAATGAAAAAAAAATACTATTTGAATACAGATTAAGAAACTACAATTTCAAAATCAGTTTATGAAGTTTTTAATTCATTAATTTAGGATCAGTTGGATTATGTTCCAGACAGCTTTGAGAGCCAAACAATTTCACAGATTGTTGAAAGAAATGAAGGTGAATTATACGTACTCTTTTATTACACTTTAGCCATTAGATTTTTATAAAATACTATGAACAACTACAAATACATCATTTCTTGGAACATTTGGCTAATCAAGGGTTGAACAAATCTTATTCTTTCTCTAGTAGTAACACAGTTCCAGAATCCATAACCAGTTATTTTATTTCCCTTATTTCTAATCAGTTTAAATTACATGCAAGGTGCAAATCGAGAAAACTACTTTTTATGTAGAGATATTTTCTAATATAAAATTATAAAAAGCAGACTCTCCATGAGAAAAAATAATATTCTGCACTTAGAAATATGTTTTAATTGCTAAGTATATACAAAAAAGAATTTGAAAAAAATATACAGTCAATGCATCATGACTGCGCAAAATATAAGGGTTGCAATATAGAGCCATTTATGACTTAATACAAGCATGATACAGAAATAAACAACTATAGGTTGGCGTAACGCCTTCAACAATGAGCATAGTCTATACCGCATAGTCAACAATAAAAGGCCCAGAAATGACAAATGTAAAACAATACAAACCAGAAAACTAACGGCCCAATTCATGTAGAAAGTAATGAACGAAAAACAAAAAAGTAGCACAGCAACAAACGACAACCACTGAATTACAGGCTCCTGACTTTGGACAGGCCCATACACAATGTGGCTGGGATAAACATGTTAGCAGGAACTAAACCCTCCCCTAACATGGAACAGCGGTGTAAGTGTGTATTTGTTTGTTCGACATTGGCTAGAGGAAAACAAAACACTTATAACCCCGTAGCTTTTGGCAACTGTCCTAAATCCGGAACCTCTGTCCTCTGTTAGTCTTTTATGTTCTTTTTAATTGTGGTTCATTTATATGTTTCTGACCTTAGGGTAAGGTCTTTTTTCGCGTAACTAGTATACATTTTTGTTACGGGGCCAGGTGAAGCCCACTTGAAGGGTGCGGGATTTGCACGGTGTGTTAAACGTCGCAAATCATCTTAAGTTTTATTTATTGTTCGTTATAATTTTTTACTTAGCAATTTCTTATACGCATCTTTCTCACACAAATGTTTCAGGAACAAGTGACAACCAAGACCATGTTCCAGGTAAGAAATTGGCAATTAAGGTCAAGTAACAGTTTACTACAAGTGGCGAACAAGTGTCTTATTAAGATATAAATGGGGAATGTGTCCATGAGACACAGATGATCCATATAAGATTATAAAAGGCCATAAACGCAAGAAAGATAAAAGTGACACTACCAAAGTTTTCTAGCTGTGATAAAGACACATTCCCTATTTCCATTCTCAATTTATGTCATAGATTTTCTTAAAATATTTCGCATACACCTTTCAATTGGCTCGTTGAACAACTAAATATCGAAAAAAATCCCTTTTATCTCTTATATTTGTAACTGAAAGTTTGGGTTATATTGTTTTACCCCTGTCTGTCTGTCTGTCCTTCCGTCCGTCCGTCCGTTCATCCCATTTTGATGTATATACTTGCATAAGAGGAGCGTTAACTGTTTCCAGATAACTCCTCCTACAGTTTTAATGCTAGGCAGTTTTCACTATGATGGCTGTTTGTACATATGTTGAAGGTGTGAATGTGGTCAGGATTAATTTTTATTAATTTTTGCTTTTGGGAGATAAAATTACTTTGTCATTTTTTGGGGTGTATGCGGTTAAATGTTATAGTTATTTTTAAATAACACGTTGCATCTGTGGGGCATCAATTTGTCTCCCATACACAACAATATCTCAAAGAAAGTCTCACATTGACTTTTTTTATAATACAGTTACTTCACAGTGGAGTGCGGGGGCATCACTTTGTCTAGTCTTAAGTATATATGATTTAAATCTTTCAAAATAGGTGAACATAAATATTGTATAGGAAATATATAAAATTTACGAAAAACGATCTAAACAAGAATGTGTCCATAGTACACTGATGCCCCACTCGCACTATCATTTTCTATGTTTAGTGGACCGTAAAATTGTGGCCAAAACTCTAATTTGTCATTAAAATTAGACAGATCATATCATAGGGTACATGTGTACTAAGTTTCAAGTTGATTGAATTTCAACTTCATCAAAAACTACCTTGACCAAAAAATTTAACCTGGAGCGGGACAGACGGACGAACGAACGAACGCACAGACCAGAAAACATAATGCCCCTCTACTATCGTAACGGGTAATTTTGTCCTGCTTTCCATTTCACATCTGTGATATTGAAAACACACAATTTAGGACCTTAATGAGTAAGTTTATTCTACTTTATATGTCATACCTGTGACATTTGGGTATTACATAACCCACTTCAACTTGGGAGCTCTAATGAGTACGTTTATCCTACTTTGCATGCGTAATGTCATACATGCCTAACCTGTGACATAAGTATAACAGAACAAACATCAAATCTCTCTAGAAGGAAATACATATCCCACTGAACATGGTTCAATGTGACATTAGGGAATACACACTCACATCAAATTAGGTGTTCTAGAAGGGTAATATATATATCCTGCTTTTCATGCCAATTTAGTGACAGTAAGTAATACATAACTGACATCAAATCAAGTGCTCTAAAGAGTTTTTATCCTGCTTTACATGTCCGACCTGTGACATTGGATAATACACAGCTCACATCCAATCAGGTGCTCTAGAGGGGTAAGTTTATTCTGCTTTACATGCCAGACCTGTGACATTGGGTAATACATACCTCACATCCAAGCAGATGCTCTAGAAGGGTTTATGTTCCAATGAGGACTAACTGTGCACCACTTATTGCGGACCTGTTTTTGTATTGTTACGAGTTACAATTTATGACTAAAATCAGCAAAGACCCATCGAAACAACATCTGATACAAAAATTTAACAATACTTTTAGATATTTGGATGATATATTGGCTCTCAATAATGACGACTTCAGTATGTATGCTTAAGAAATTTATCCTATTGAACTTACTTTAAATAAAGCTAATACTAACAATGACCACTATCCTTTCCTCGATCTTGATATCTATATCATTAACGGGAAGCTTAATACAAAAATTTATGATAAAAGAGATGATTTTTCATTTCCTTTCGTTAATTATCCATTTTAAGATGGTGACGTTCCCTTGTCACCATCTTATGGTGTTTATATATCTCAACTTGTACGATTCGCTCGTGTATGTAACAACGTATTAGATTTAAGCGAGAGAAATTTATGTATTACTGAAAAATTATTACACCAGATATCATAAACTATGTATTACTGAAAAATTATTACACCCGATATCATAAACTAGTCAAAACATTTACTAAATTTTATCATCAGTACAAGGACATCATTCGTAAATATAACTCAACATGCAGACATCTTATACGTTCGGGTATTTCACATCCAATCTTTTATGGTAATATTCTTTACAAAGCACAAAAATGTCAGTATTCACCTCAAAAGCTAACAAAACCTTTAAACAGACTTATTAAGAAGGGATATAGTTACGATACTGTTGTCAGGTCATTAAAGATTGCATATTTTGGCTTTAATATTGATTCACTGATAGGGTCTTTGCATCGGAATCAAACACATTTATTCTAAAACCAGTTGTTGGCATGACACGGATTATGTTCTTCTCATATATTTTATGACGGTATAATACTAAACCCCTAACAGGAGGGATTGTGCCTGATATTCATATGATGAATACATAATCTTTCAATCAGTTTAATTGAGGTCTGGAGCTGGCATGTCAGTAACTGCTAGTAGTCTGTTGTTATTTATGTATTATTGTCATTTTGTTTATTTTCTTTTGTTTCCTATTCTGACATCGGACTCGGACTTCTCTTATACTGAGTTTTACTGTGCGTACTGTTGTGCGTTTGTTTTTACTACATTGGCTAGAGGTATAGGGGGAGGGTTGAGATCTCAAAAAACATGTTTAACCCCGCCGCATTTTTGCGCCTGTCCCAAGTCATGAGCCTCTGGCCTTTGTTAGTCTTGTATCATTTTTTAATTTTAGTTTCCTGTGTATAATTTGGAGTTTAGTATGACGTCCATTATCACTGAACTAGGATACATATTTGTTTAGGGGCCAGCTGAAGGACGCCTCCGGGTGCGTGAGTTTCTCGCTGCATTGAAGACCCATTGGTAGCCTTCGGCTGTTGTCTGCTCTATGGTCGGGTCGTTGTCTCTTTGACACATTCCCCATTTCCATTCTCAATTTTATTTATCCTGCTTTTCATGTCAGACCTGTGACATTGGGTAATACATACCTCACATCTAATCTTGAATCCTAGAAGGGTGAATGTATCCTGCTTTACATCCCAGACCTGTGACATTGGGTAATTCAAATCAAATCAAATACTTGAGAAGGGTGAGTTTATCCTGCTTTACATGCCAGACCTGTGACATTGGATAATTCAAATCAAATCAAATACTCTAGAAATCTGGAAGTCATATTGACATCGGCTGATGTAAAACTCACATCTTAGAAAGTGCTCAAGAAGGACAAGTTTATCTTGTTTTTTTTTTGCTAGACTTGTGACTTTCGGTAACACATAACTCACATCAAAACCAATTTTAAATTTTATAACTTAGCTAAGGTGATGATATCTGGCCTAGTTAATTCAATGTCATGAAATGGAGGTCAAAATTTGTAAAATATTATCAACAAGCCATGAAATTGTAGTCAAATCCAAATCATGATTACAAAGTGATGACAATGAGCCAAACCATCACCACAAACATTGAGGCGCCAGATGAAAGGTCAGCAAAAAATAATTAGGACAAGTTGACATTGAAGTAGAACCTAACAGCTATCACTGAGATCAAATCGTAACCATTGTAATAACTGGGATTCATTGAATCATGCCATTTGATTCAAGCCTTAGTCATAACCAGCACATTTGTACTAAGCTATGACAAATTAAAAATTCGTAAGGGTTACAGGGAAACCTGTGTCTCACCTGGGATTTGCTGTCAGTGTAAAAATGTAATGTTGACTTAAAAATGAGTCCATTTATCAGTAAAATAAGGAATTTAAAAATTCAAACTTTTTCTTTAGATGCTTTTTCTTAGTCTTGAAGATTAGCTTCTGTCCAAGTTTCATGATAACAATCCATGAAGGTTTACAAATTTATCATGTCAAAAAATTTTAATCCCAGACTGTCTGTAAAGAGAAAAATACTGAAAATGGAAAAAAAAGTATTTTCAAAAGTTAGCTTCAGACATCTCATAATCATAAAAAAGCATCTGCTAAAGTTTCATAAAATTATATGAAGCTTTGACAAAGTAATTGATGTGTAACAAAGTTAAACCTCAGACTGTATCTACTTGTTATCTGTAAAATAAACTAAGTTCATTTATCAGTAAAATACGGAAAAATGAAAATAAATATTTTCAAAATGTCGTTCTGGATACTGTCTTTTGTTCATAAACAAGCTTCTGTGCAAATTTCATAAAATTCTATGAAGGTTTGACAAAGTTATTGATGACTGAAAAACTTTAACCTCAGACTGAATCTGAATGTTAACTGTAAAAAAAATAAGTTCATTTATCAGTAAAATATGGAACAAGAGGCTGTCAGAGTGACAGCAAACCGGATTTTCCTGCAGAGGTCGAACCCTAAACAGTTGAGCAAGTATGGACACTACATTTAAGCTTAAAACAGCTCTGAATTTGGATCGTGATTGAATATTTGACACAGCATAGGTTTGTGACACAAAATGAATGTGGTTTAAGAACTGAAATACTTGAAATTGGACATTTAAATACCTATTATGGTCCAATATCAAAAATCTAAGTACATATTAGAATCAGCATATCAAAGAACCCCAAGAATTCAATTTTTGATGAAATCAGATAAGATTTAATTTAAAACCCTTTGGACCTCAATGTGGACCAATTTGATAAAGGAGCCCACAATCCAAAATCTCTCAATACATGGTTAGATTCAGCATTTCAAAGAACCCCATAAATAATTTTTTTGTTGAATCAAACAAAGTTTAATTTTGGACCCTGATTTGGACCAACTTGAAAACTGGGCCCAAAAATCTAATATTTAAATACAGGTTTAGATTCAGCATTTGAAAGAACCCTATATATATTCAATTTAT